TTCATTATCCTCAATGCCTCCAAGCTGTCACATTTCTCCGTGTTTGGTGTACACATAAATTAGCATCGCTTAATCAAATATAGCAACATTCCAGGAGTATTTTAACCCGAGAATTCTTCCAGCTGTTCAGTGCGGGATTTCGTGACTGTCCGCGCCGCGTTCTGGTAACTCACGCTAAGACATTGTGTTTTATCATCCTGGCTTTCAAAGTAAACAGGAAACAAAGCGAAATCTCAAGACTCAGATTTAATAAAATAAAGGCGTTCGTTAGAAATAAAGCTCAGGTTTTGCAAATGGAGCGAGGCCAGCATTACCAAAGTAGCCAAGTTTTCACTGGTACAAACACAGCGCGCCAACACAGTCCTGTACAACAGGGAACACGGCAACATAGCATATAGAAAGCACACCGCAACATCCAGGGGTGACCATGTGACTTTACAGATGTAACACGGTCACTAGTTACCCCTAGTCTGCTGCATTGGCCACATATAGAGCGTTTAATGAGGAGAGGGCACGGCGTATAGAGTTATATAGTATGGTGAAGGCCAACCACCTTCAATAGCACCAATTCCATTGAGAGACCACAAACCAAACCGGCACATGGCTGGTGTCATTGTCTGATGGGAGTTCTATATAGGGACACATGACTGAATAGGGTCTTAATATTGCTCTGAGCCCCCAGAAATCCGAAACCTGCCCTTTTCAGAATCGTTATTTCTGATTGGGACTATTTAGTTTGATCAAGTTCCGTTTTAATTTGCAAATATCCAATTGGTATTTTAGGATAATATTGGTTTTTCTTTTATTTATTGGCGTTCTATGATTTTATCAGTTTGTGGGTTTTTTCTGCTGATTAGCATTATTTGGATGGTTTCATTGTATTTTACCACATATTAATCCTTCCCCATAATCCAGGCCCCTGGGGAGATAGCGCAGCTAAGCGGACAAGGGCACATGTAGGAGTGTGGGGATAGATGCGTGGGATTGGTTGGGAAAGAGTGTGTGGGTGGGATTATGTTCTGTGTGAGTTAGTGTGGGGGAGGTCTTACCTCAGTGCCACTTGGGATTCGGGCCAGCAAACAGCTTCCCTCCCGCCCGCCCAATTGGTATATTTAGTCACAGCTAGCCGGGGGTATGTCCTTGCCAATTGAGTTTGAGGGGTTACGTTTAAGTATATGGAATGAGATGAACAAGTTTTTAAGGTCTCAACCTCCCCTGCTTCAAAAGGTTAACATTAGGTTGCCTGAGGTGTCGTGCCCATCGAGCGTGGATAAGGTCGGCTGATGGCGGGCATTGGAAAGATATGATTTTTATGACGAGGGGGGAGGTGAGAGGAAGTGGTGATTAGGAACCACTGTATGTTTATTGGCAAGGACGGTTGGGTCACTGTATAACACTATGGGTGGAGTTATATATGTATATATGTTAATTTATGCTTATTTATGTCTAACGTTTTGGTTACAGAAAAAGAAGAGATTTAATAAATAAAGTTATGGATGTGTTATGCGGTAATTTAGTTTGTGATAATAAATGATGTGGCCTGTTCATCCATACTAAGTGGTCTGTCATTATTGGGGGGTTGAATGGGGTTAGTTTTGTTATAGGCTGCATCGTAATTCACCACTACGTACATACATGCCCCAAGCCACCACAATCCTGCCTCAAGTCACCACAATCCTGCCCCACAATCCTGCCCCACAATCCTGCCCCAAGTCACCACAATCCTGCCCCAAGTCACCACAATCCTGCCCCACAATCCTGCCCCAAGTCACCACAATCCTGCCCCACAATCCTGCCCCAAGTCACCACAATCCTGCCCCAAGTCACCACAATCCTGCCCCACAAGCCATAATCCTGCCCCAGGCCACCACAATCTTTCCTCGGTCTGGTTATCTTCCTGTTGCATTAATGATTTCTAGCTTAAAACAGGTTAATATATTTGCTTGGACTCTGAATTGCACAAATTACTCCATAACAATTTCACCATTCAGTGTATAGATCACATTCTAGCTTTTAACATTTAATAGCTCTTTAAATTGTGCTCTTTGTCCCCCTCTCTCCGCTCCCAGGGTTAATCTCTCTGCTTGACACCTGTCAGTAACAGAGTCCATACAGTGATACAAATGACCTCCCTAATTCAGAGAACTGTGGCGGCTTTAATAACTGCCTGGCATCATTTGGATAATTGTCTTATACCCATCCCCGTGACATTTACTAAGATATTTGAGGTAAAAAGGGCAACAATGAAGAATGCCGGAAGCACCAGACATTTATTACCCTTAAAAAAATATGATTGCAAGTGTTGTGTGTCATGATACAAAGTCGCACACAACTCTGGTGCTCAGACAGTTAAATACGTGTTCCTTTCGGCCGGTTGCACTGCAGACCATTAGGAAGCTGTCATATCTTCCAGTACATTAGATACCAGAGAAATGTCGGCTGATAATGGACAGTGACGTGAGAAAGTTGAGTCACTCCTGCACGGCTGCGGTTTGCATGATGTTGGTGCGCACTATAAGGACATATTCAATAAGTGGCTAGACGCTCTGCAAAAATAATTCATGCAAAGATGTGAGTTTTAGAAAGCAAGAAAGCGTAAATGTCAGGACAGTCCGAGAGGTGATTTATCAAAGCAAGGCAGCTGCACAAATCACTATCTTTATCCGGATCTTATTGGAAGCAGAGGAATCTGTTTCAGATAAAGTCAGGATTCTGTTTTTCGAGCAGTAATTCCCCAGTGTTTGCAGCTAAGTCTCGATTGTGATAAATGATCATTTGCTGCGGAACACGTCCCTTCCTGAGCAGAGCAGTAAATGGAACCAAGGAACATTTATTGCAGGGATGCTGCAATATGTGGCCTCGGCTGGAAAAATACCAGACTGGGAGCGGAAATTGCTAAACTCGGTGGAAAGGTGAGAAAAGTGGCTTTTAAAAACAACCTCAATAAAGAGATCAGTTAGCGCCTCACTGTCACAGGGGGCTGTGACTGACAGACAGCCTTCACAAGTGTCCCTATTTTGGGCCCAGACCCTTCTGTCCCTCTTTTCTAGGAGCTCTATATTGTTGGTGTGTCTGAGTGTATAACAGAGCTCCACAGCAATAATACTCCCAGTAATGTGTCTGAGCGTATAACAGAGCTCCACAGCAATATCTCCCAGTAATGTGTCTGGCGTATAACAGAGCTCACAGCAATAATACTCCCAATGTGTGTCTGTGTATAACAAGAGCTCCACAACATTAATACTCCCAGTAATGTGTCTGAGTGTATAACTGAGCTCCACAGCAATAATACTCCCAGTAATGTGTCTGAGTGTATAACAGAACTCCACAGCATTAATACTCCCAGTAATGTGTCTGAGTGTATAACAGAGCTCCACAGCAATAATACTCCCAGTAATGTGTCTGAGTGTATAACAGAGCTCCACAGCAATAATACTCACAGTAATGTGTCTGAGTGAATAACAGAGCTCCACAGCAATAATACTCACAGTAATGTGTCTGAGTGTGTAGCAGAGCCCCAAAGCAATAATACTCCCAGTAATGTGTCTGAGTGTGTAGCAGAGCCCCAAAGCAATAATACTCCCCAGTAATGTGTCTCAGTGTATAACAGAGCTCCACAGCAATATACTCCCAGTGTGTGTCTGAGTGTATATAGCAAGAGCTCCACAGCAGTGGTAAATACTCCCAGTAATGTGTCTGAGTGTATAACTTGGAGGGCTCCCACCAGTAATAATACTCCCAGTGTGTGTCTGAGTGTATAACAGGCTCCACAACAATACTCAGTAATGTGTCTGAGTGTATAACAGAGCTCCCACAGCAATAGCTCTCCCAATGTAATGTGTCTGAGTGTATAGGCTCCACAGCACATTAGCCCTCCCAAAGTAATGTCAGGTGTATGAACAGAGCTCCACAGTAATAATACTCAGTAATGTGTCTGAGTGTATTACAGAGCTCCACAGCAGTAATACTCCCAGTAATGTATCTTAGGGTATAACAGAGCTCCACATCAATAATACTCCCAGTAATGTGTCTTAGTGTATAACAGAGCTCCACAGCAATAATACTCCCAGTAATGTGTCTGAGTGTGTAACAGAGCTCCACAGCAATAATACTCCCAGTAATGTGTCTGGGTGTGTAACAGAGCTCCACAGCAATAATACTCCCAGTAATGTGTCTGAGTGTATAACAGAGCTCCACAGCAATATTACTCCCAGTAATGTGTCTGAGTGTATAACAGAGCTCCACAGCAATAATACTCCCAGTAATGTGTCTGAGTGTATAACAGAGCTCCACAGCAATAATACTCCCAATAATGTGTCTGAGTGTATAACAGAGCTCCACAGCAATAATACTCCCAATAATGTGTCTGAGTGTATAACAGAGCTCCACAGCAATAATACTCCCAGTAATGTGTCTGAATGTATAACAGAGCTCCACAGCAATAATACTCCCAGTAATGTGACTGAGTGTATAACAGAGCTCCACAGCAATAATACTCCCAGTAATGTGTCTGAATGTATAACAGAGCTCCGCAGCAATAATACTCCCAGTAATGTGTCTGAGTGTATAACAGAGCTCCGCAGCAATAATACTCCCAGTAATGTGTCTGAGTGTGTAACAGAGCTCCGCAGCAATAATACTCCCAGTAATGTTTCTGAGTGTGTAACAGAGCTCCGCAGCAATAATACTCCCAGTAATGTGTCTGAGTGTATAACAGAGCTCCACAGCAATAATACTCCCAGTAATGTGTCTGAGTGTATAACAGAGCTCCACAGCAATAATACTCCAGTAATGTGTCTGAGTGTATAACAGAGCTCCACAGTAATAATACTCCCAGTAATGTGTCTGAGTGTATAACAGAGCTCCACAGCAATAATACTCCCAGTAATGTGTCTGAGTGTATAACAGAGCTCCACAGCAATAATACTCCCAGTAATGTGTCTGAGTGTAAACAGAGCTCCACAGCAATAATACTCCCAGTAATGTGTCTGAGTGTATAACAGAGCTCCACAGCAATAATACTCCCAGTAATGTGTCTGAGTGTATAACAGAGCTCCACAGCAATAATACTCCCAGTAATGTGTCTGAGAGTATAACAGAGCTCCACAGCAATAACACTCCCAGTAATGTGTCTGAGTGTATAACAGAGCTCCACAGCAATAATACTCCCAGTAATGTGTCTGAGTGTATAACAGAGCTCCACAGCAATAATACTCCCAGTAATGTGTCTGAGTGTATAACAGAGCTCCACGGCAATAATACTCCCAGTAATGTGTCTGAGTGTATAACAGAGCTTCACAGCAATAATACTCCCAGTAATGTGTCTGGGTATATAACAAAGCTCCACAGCAATAATACTCCCAGTAATACAGAGCTCCGCAGCAATAATACTCCCAGTAATGTGTCTGAGTGTATAACAGAGCTCCACAGCAATAATACTCCCAGTAATGTGTCTGAGTGTATACTGTGCTCCACAGCAATAATACTCCCAGTAATGTGTCTGAGTGTATAACAGAGCTCCACAGCAATAATTTTGCACTGTATTTGTTTATTGATTACGTTTTCTTATTTCTTTATTGAATACCTATTAATCCTGCTGCCCCCTGATACTGCCAGACTTTATTTTTCAACCTTTCTGGCCACTTTTACATTTCCCTCTACTTGAGACTTACTCTCCCCCTTCTTTCATTGGAGCCAGGGTCTGTCCTGCCTCCCCAAAGTCAGACACTGAAACTCCTGAACACTGCGGGACTTCCATCATCATCTGCGTTCGTTTCTACACAACCTGGAAGGGCACTGTTCGGTGGAATCGTTCGCATGGATGAGGTGAACAAGCTACACATTGCAATTATGGATTATGTTCGGTATTTTATTTGTTTTTATGTTACCAAAGTTGACCGACCGCTAGCACTGATTTCACATAACTACTTACGCCACATGAGCCTTCTATCTCGCTCTCCCTTCAAGTCAGTGGTATCCATCCACATAAGTCCATCCTTGCAAGCACGCTGTCTTGGCGTGATACTTGACTCTGGCCTCACCTTTGAGCCTCAGATCCACTTTGTTGCCAAATCCTGTAGATTCCAACTTGAAAACACAGCCGCATCCGCCCCTTTCTTACACAAGATGCTACCAAGGAGCTGGTCCATGCTCTAGTAATTTCCAGCATGGATTATTGTAACCCTCTCCTGATTGGTCTCCCCAAAAGCCGTATTGCCCCGCTACAGTCTGTAATGAATGCCGCCGCCAGACTGATTTTCCTCTCTAGTCAGTCCTCTCACATCTCACCCCTCTGCCAGTCCTTACATTGGCTTCCTGTATCCTATAGGAGTCAATTCAAGGTACTAACCCATTCATATAAAGCACTGAACAATTGTAGCCCCTCTTATATCTCTTCACAGATCCATAGGTATGCCCTTCCTCGTTCCCTCCGCTCTGCCCATGACCACCTCCTGACCGCTGCTCGCACCCGTACGGCCAACACATGCTTGCAGGACGTCTGGCGGGCGGCTCCCTTCCTATGGAATAGCCTGCCTACCCCCATCAGAATCTCCCCTAGTCTTCAATCCTTTAAGAAGTGCCTTAAAACCCATCTCTCTAGGAAAGCTTATGGCCTCGTTTGAGCAGGGCCCTCTTCAACCTATTGTTCCTGTAAGTTTTCTTGTAAATGTCCTATTTATAATTACATCCCCCCCTCTCACAATATTGTAAAGTGCTACGGAATATGTTGGCGCTATATAAATGGCAACAATAATAATTATGTGCGTTCGGTCAAAAACAGTACTTCCGCCTCGATCTCAAGGATGCGTACCTTTCAGTGCCTGTGGCACCAGGCAGCCGACTGTTCCTCCGGATCAAATTAAACAAAGAACCCTGCACACTGATAACGTGTAAATATTCCGGCCATCCACAGTGGAGGTGCTCCATGTCAGGCGGATATCGCTGGACCCACCAGTAAAGTCTTCAAAATGAATAAACGCAGGCATTAAAGGGACACTAGTCACCCAGACCACTTCAGCCTCCTACCATGTGATAAAATTGTAGATTATTCTAACGCAGTGTACCTATAATCTTAATTTTAGTAATGACAGGAGGCGAAAATTTCCGGCCCTTTCTTTCTTGTTTCCCACCCTGGGTAATTTTCATTCTGCTTTTATCTATTTCTAATTGTAGATTCTTGCTAACCTTAGGTTTCACACTTTCTGCAGTTGTATATTTTGTGTTTAGTTATTATGATGTTATGAAGCTTAGATCAGACTAGCGTTCTGTATGATGCCTGTTACATTCGGTTAACCATTACATTCGTTGCATCTATTGAACTTAGTTGATAGACAGTTGTTGAATGATGGGCAACTTATCATTTCAGATGCCTTTCAATTCTTTCTGTTTCTTTTCAGTGTAATCAACACTTAATACCTCGCTTCTGGATTCTACGGACACTTTGGATGTTCCCACTACCGTAGTCTGGATTACAAGTTTATTTCTGGATTTCTGTTGGATTGTTTGCTGTTTGAACTCTATTTGGAACTTTAATTTGGTTCGCTACAAACATAGAGGAAGAGCTGGGTGTGTCAGGGCCGTTTGTGTAATATTGAAATGTTTTCTGATTGGTTGTTCTGTGCTGCTGGAAGTTTTCAGTATAGATATATGCAAATATTCGCTGTAGCGGATGGCATTGGGCTGTCCTCAAAATTATCTATATACCTATGTGTTCGGTTAAATTGTGCCATGTGTATGCGAAGTGTATGTAGCATTCAACTGATTGTTCAGTGAAATCACTCCAGTTATTATGCGAGTGAAACTACCGAACAATCAGACCACCCCAGGAGTAAGTGTGCCTTCAATTAGCGTTCGCAACAATGTTGCAAACGGGTAATTGGCAATTCATGTAGTGTGTTCTTTGTCCTCTGGGTGGCCGCCATTCGGGAGATGAACACGTGGCGGCGGCCATTTTAAACTCCCGAACAGCTGTATTGTGCCGTCGAGTGTCTGGAACCCAAATCGGACATTCTGTTAGGCAAACACCGCTGAGACCTCCACACTGCCGCCAATTTGTGCAAAAACTACCGAACGGAGGGGTGGAGCCTGGCTTCCAGGCTGCATGGACGTGCTGAGACTGAGCTCCAGACTAAATCGGCACAATTTTGGGGAAAAACCCTGAAAAACATGCACGTACAGCACCTGGAGGGTGATAGCACAGCCGGAGACACCCGGGCGCATCGACAGGTACCAATCGTTAACCTGACATTAACCCGGGAACCGGCACCCGTACCAAGAGGCCTACTTGAGACCCTGCCGAGGAGAGGCGGCCACTCTCCTCGCGGACGACACCGCAGTGGGAACCTCCAAATTACTCACTTCCTACCCCCCCCCCCACTCTGGACCGGCGGGGGTTATCCCGGTCCGCACAGTGTGTGCCACGCTGATCTCTCCACTTAGGAGTGCCACGAGGCACTCCTAAGATGGCGGCTGGTAGCGAATCGCTCACGCTGAACCTGCTCCCGCAAGCAACAATCTACCACGACACCACACAGCGCCTGAACAAAATATTCAGACGATTCTGGGCAAAATTAAGAAACCGCCTGAAAACAACACAGACCGCACAGGGACCTGCACGAACAGCGGGTAAGCGAGACATCCGGCAGCGGGGACATAGGGGCATACCCTTGGGCATAGGGACGGATGACCCACGCAACCCCAAACCACAGAGCCTACCCGGGCTGGAGGCCAAAAGGGTGAAGACCCAGATGCATCGCCCACACCCACGGAGGCTCCAACACTGCAAACGGCCAAAGTCCATCAGGCCCTCCACTACCCCCGAAAGAGGAGGAAACTCGGGCTCCAGAAGCTGCAGAGTTTGTGGCACAGAGATGCAGGCCCATGCAACAGCCTGGGGCTGGAGGGATGCCACCATACTGTCTACTGCTCCAGCGGCCTCCAATACCTCACCACCAAATGCTAGCTGCTTTCAAAGAGATGGCATCGGATGATAGAGACTCACTACACAAAGCCTCTAGATGTATTATTACAATGGGTTTGTAAATTCTGAGCAATTCTAGGGTAAACTGTTAGATGGAGCAATCAACTGGAGCGTTGCATTGTTTTCCCTGGTTTCCATGGTAACTGATCCACCTATAGATCTGCGCCCTGGCATTGTGTATATAAGTCCTCGCTGTGTCCCTACCAGTGATGTTAATAGAGTACTAGCTGGGTATTGTAAATATGTAACCCACATCATACAGATCATTAATATGGGGCGCAGCGCGCCATTTGTCAGAACGCGCAGGCTCGGGTCCATTTTAGGATTTGTGAATGGAGCAGTGGATTTGAGCAGCGTGTGTGAATGGAGCGGTGTATTTGAGCAGTGTGTGTGAATGGAGCGGTGTATTTTAGCAGCATGTGAATGGAGAGGTGTATTTGAGCAGTGTGTGTGTGAATGGAGCGGTGGATTTGAGCAGTGTATTTCAGCAGTGTGTGTGAATGGAGCGGTGTATTTGAGCAGTGTGTGTGAATGGAGCGGTGTATTTGAGCAGTGTGTGTGTGAATGGAGCGGTGGATTTGAGCAGTGTGTGTGAATGGAGCGGTGGATTTGAGCAGTGTGTGTGAATGGAGCAGTGTATTTGAGCAGTGTGTGTGAATGGAGCGGTGGATTTGAGCAGTGTGTGTGAATGGAGCGGTGTATTTGAGCAGTGTGTGTGAATGGAGCGGTGTATTTGAGCAATGTGTGTGTGAAGGGAGCGGTGTATTTGAGCAGTGTGTGTGTGAATGGAGCGCATGAGAGTGTGTGAATGGGCAGTGTATTTGAGCAGTGTGTGTGAATGGAGCAGTGTATTTGAGCAGTGTGTGTGTGAATGGAGCGGTGTATTTGAGCAGTGTATTTGAGCAGTGTGTGTGTGAATGGAGCGGTGTATTTGAGCAGTGTATTTGAGCAGTGTGTGTGTGAATGGAGCGGTGTATTTGAGCAGTGTGTGTTAATGGAGCGGAGGATTTGAGCAGCGTGTGTGAATGGAGCGGTGTATTTGAGCACTGTGTGTGAATGGAGCGGTGTATTTGAGCAGTGTGTGTGTGTGAATGGGCGGTGGATTTGAGCAGTGTGTGTGTAGATGGGCGGTATATTTGAGCAGTGTGTGTGTGAATGGGCCGGTGTATTTGAGCAGTGTGTGTGTAGATGGAGCAGTGTATTTGAGCAGTGTGTGTGAATGGGCAGTGTATTTGAGCAGTGTGTGTGTGAATGGAGCAGTG